TAAGCTTTTTTGTTTTGGCCAAACAAAATTTTATAACTTCGAAAAAAAATGTAATAATACTGTTATCTATTGTGGACAGAGGCTGCTCAAGCAACTTGGGGAGTCTTAGGCTTTTGGTAAAGTAGGTGAACGTGGAGGCCTTTGGTTATGAGTTTGATTTTCTTTATCAATACTTTTTTGGTCGAGCTTGTCGTACTAGGCTTGCCTAGTGCGGTTTATCTGACTGGCGTGATTTGCAGGCTATTGTGTCAGTCCGAGGGCTTACCCAGTGTGCACCCGAAGGGTAGCGGCTGCGAGTTCTCCCGTCATTTAAAAAAAAAAAATGGAAAAAATAAACACTTGGGGGGTCTTAGGCTAAAATTTTGGAGGGGCTTCTTGAAGAATAATTTTTTTTTTTTTTGATAAAAAAATAAATAATACTTTTCTTTGCTGATCTTAAAAACACAATTAAAATATAGGTAAAAAAAATAAAAGCATAACTTTCTTAAAAATAAACTCACCTTGAGTAAGAAAAAAGAGAGAATGGTGCTTTGATGGTAAGTTCCAATTGAAATATGTATTACTTTGATTATAATATAAAAGTTTGTCGGGGGTTTTCAATTAGAGAAGAAACGAGAAAAAATGTAGAAAACAGGAAACATCTTTTGATCTGGTCAATTGGGTATTCTCTTATGGTTGGATTGAATTTTATTTAAATTTCAATTTTTTCGGGCCTTGCGTGAATATGGGGCATTAGACGATTGTCTAGATGTCTTCATGGTTGAGCCGACTCTAATTGTAAGATAGGATGTAAGCTTGTGGGTCGCTCTATTTTCATTTCTAAAAATAAAGCAGCTGGAGCTATGACTTATATATCATGTGCTTGTTTCCGTTTGACAAAAAAATTAAATTAAATTACGTGTGGAGTATGAATCTTCATCTATATATAGTATGTGGAAATTGTATGTATATATACATCCTCGACCGTCAAATTCAATAGAACGACCCACAAATATTAACCATTTATCCACCCTTCATTTGTATCTTTATAAAATTTAAACATTTTATAAATACTTCCCAAACATGTTTTTTAACATTCTTGAATTATGATTGTGTTTTACAATTTTTATTCTTTTCCTTTAAAAGGATATTGCTAAAAACCTAACATCCGGTGCCATGGCTCAACTTATATACTTGATGTAGGAGAGTGTCGCTATTTCACCCAAAAGTTATAATTCATGATACTAATGCAATCCATCTTATATTATCCGGAATCAAGTCTGGATGTACACTCTTAAGACAAATTTGTTTGGCCAATTCTGTTTCAAGCATGCTCTTTATAAAACTTCGTTCTTTCTACTTGAACTAAGCCCTAACCTTAAAACCTTCTTGAATGATAAATAATCAATTTAAAACAAACTTAATTTATGAAACAACCAAATATATTGACCTCGTAAATTGGTTGTTTCAAATTCAATTGCTCACCAAGTCCCTAACATAAACTAATATTAGTAATGCTTATTAACTTTTGCCATAACAATATTCATGATATGGCATGTCCAGCATGGTAAACTCGACAACACCAAAATAGAAAGAAAAATTGACACGTTTTTTCTCTGTCAAATCATATCTAGAGTAGCATATCAAAACATGTCCTAAGTAAACTCGCTTCCTTATGGCTCCACCAAGCATTTACCTTAAGTAACCTGTGAACATAATAGAGTCCCACCAAAACAAGACGCAAACAGTATCTGAAATTCTGAATACATTTGGAATGTTGTTGGTTCGAAAGGTCTATAAAATCTATATTCTAATGCTCAGTCTGATCTAATTTAACAAACACTTGGACACGTCAAACATTACTATATACGAAGAAAATAAGATAAATTATAGTACGTTATTCTATGCAATACTATCCAATATTGTCTAGCAAACATGTCCTAAATGCAGAATTAAACCATGGCTTGTAGTCAAAACGAAACACGTTGTAATCCCCCTTAATCATTTGAACCAAAGTGCACCCTCTTTAACTTCAGCATCCAATTCTAATTGTAAGATACAAAAGACAATATTTTGAAATCATATTTGTCTGTTTATAAAGGAAGCCAATTTCCAACTTGTGTAGAGATAGAATACGGGGAATTTCTTGTGTGAATAAACCATAGGTTGATCAAGTGTTTATATCCTTAAAAAAGAAGTGCTATAAAACAATCGAATACTAAATCTCATTATCCATATCGGCATATTGCTAAACTAACAACGAAACCCAACATGGCTCCTGCTATAACTTCAATTTCTGTGTGTCCTACTGATTCTTTTAATGTGGGGTAACCATAAGATACACCTACTGATTCTTCTCCGACATCCGATGCCACACCAGAGGATCTTATTGTCGTGCTTTTTATCCTGTTCTCAGATTTAAGTAACAGAGAAGCATTTGCCTGTTTTGTCTGAAAAGACCTCTGTTCCTCCAAGAGAAGAGGGTCAGTGCTCTCTAAATCGGAAGATAAGTCTCCAGGGAAAGAGTTGGTGAATGTGCTGGCATCGTTACTAGAGGAAGTTGAACTCGTTCTGGTGCTTAGCAAAACCTTATTTAATTCTTTCGCATGAATGCCGACTTCCCTTCTAACTCCCTACAAAAGCAAAACTTTGAAGGTGAGAAAATGAATTACCTTGCCAAACAATGGAAATAATGTGCATTTATTTGATACAATCATGTCAGATGAGCTTCGAAATAGGATGACTTCTAAACCAGCCTTGACAGACCTTAGACATTCAAGCAAGTCTCTTTCAACAACCATTTTAACCAACTCTTCTTGCTTTAATTTAAAGCCTAGGAATGCTCGAATATAGGACAAGAAGGAAATGAGCTTGCAATGCAAGAATTATTGTTGTTTGAACTTAATTTAGTCTATATCAAACTTCAGTTCTTTCACTCATTTATCGTTTTCTTTTCCAAATTCTTGATGCAAGCTGTAAAATGTCTTCAATCTATTACTAACTAGAACAGAATCTCGTCTCTAAATTTGTCCCCTTCTTCCGATAAAGCTAGGTTTTAGACCATATTCCTCCATATCAAATCCCTAAATCGAATTTCCACGTTGATGCATCCACTTTTAGGCAATTAACGTAGAAGCTAACAACTAAGTCTAATAGTTAAAGACTGAAGGAATGCTTGGAACACAAACCTGCGCGTCATACATGACAAGGCCTGCGTAAACTACAGCTAAACCGAAAATTACGTCAGAGAAACCCCTGCAATGACATCGTAACTAGAATTAAAACTGAGGGGAAAAAGAAATAGATTGATCAATAAAATAAATGAGGGCAAAATCCAATAAGTACCTCTCCAAACCAAGTGAAGTTGCAGTGGCCACAACAGCCTGAAATTGTGAATAAATATATCCAGTTAGATAATCCCATTTCAGTCTGGTTTGATATGAACTTATGACCACAAAATCAGATCGATCATCAGATTACGAGTTCAGTATCAAACCCAAAAAAAACTAATTACAGGTACATACAATCTCATGCATAAGCAGAACAGTAGAAAATATTACAGAGGAATGTGTAGAAGGGAACCCTCCAGCGTGAACGACAGCCTTAAAATCATAATTCTTGCCATATAATATAGTTGAAGTTATTGGCTTTGATAATTGCCCAATTGCTGCAGATACAGCTGCAGCTATCAAAACCTATACACAATCAATTCAAAAATAAACTCCCAATTCAAGAAATTCATGACCCAGTAAAAAGAATAATCTAACCTTGTTCTGAAAAATGCCAGCAACATCACTGAGTGCAATTGTAGGACACGCGAGGTTAGATACACATCGAAATGGAAAATAAGAAGGAATTCTTGAATTTTTTTGTATCAAAAAAGGCGCTTTAGGGGGATCAACATTATTGAATGGGCAGCTGAA